CAACCCGTGCATGACATTGACAAATGTATTTGTAATATAGTGTCTACATTAGGAAATTTACATTGAATAATCATATTTATATGATATTAATACATTTCAAATAAGAACTAGAATCTTGATAAGATTTAGTGTCGATAAATGAAGTTTTTTAAATCTTGAAACTGAATTAATTTACTTATAAAATTGTTAGAATCTAAATCATCTAAATATGTATCCAGTAAATTAGTTGAATATTTTTATAGTTTTAAAGAGAAAATCAAATTTTTTTTTTTTTTTTTATTTAGTTGACCCGCGGCTACTAAGGCCATTGGGTATTTAAGTAAGGTTGGTTCGGTAGGTTGTATTTTTTTTACAATTGATACGGTTGATAGCAAACACGTGTATGTGTGGCAAGGTTTTTAACCACTATGATCCCGAATGGTCACCCATCCGAGAGCTAGTAGCTGTGGCCGTTACTTACTCCCAGTGGCATTCCGCAACTGGAAGCAGCCAACGCGCCACGCCAAGCCACAAATTTTTTTTAATTCTTTATAAACATTGTTTTTTTTCCTTGGTTCAGTAGGTAGATAATTAATTTATTACATATTACATATTACATAATAACTAATAAGTGTTGTAAATGAAATTTTCTTCTAAAGACAAAATCACACCTGGATTATTTGTATCATCTAAACATTTATTCCTGAGATTCTTTTTCTTTTTAATGTCAATTCATTTAATTCAATAACATTGTTAAACTATAAGCAGTAGATATGCTTATGAAAAATTATAATGATTATCGTCTGTTTTCTTTTTTTTCTTAAAGCTGTTGTTATATGTAAAAAATGTTGTTAGTGAACCAGTTAACTTTATCTTTTCTTCTTCGAATTTTTATTTTAATTTTCTTTTTTCATTTCCATTTTCCACAAAATTTTTTATTTTGAATGACATTATAAATTGAAATAAATTAAACAGCTGAATATTTAAAACTAGTATAATTTTATAACTCAAAATATGATAGTATGATATTTGTTAATAAATAGTAATCAATCAGTGAACAGTTGGTTATGGTTTTATGTTGGCATTCACAACTGTTTTTATTAGTTGTTAGTAAATGTTTTTTTTTTGTTTTTAAACATTATTAACATTAAATTTAAGATTATTATCACTACGAACTAATCCGTGATTATCATTGAACAATAATGAATAATAATCATACACCTTATTATGATAATAATAACCACGGTTGTCTGATTTTCTAATTATTATTATTGTAAACAGTATGACGTATAGTAGATATAAATAATAAACATATATTAAGAAGCATAGATAAATATTTTTACATTTTGTTCCACGATAGTATTGCTAATATTAAAAATAACATTTTTTTTTTTTTTTTTGGTAGATACAAAAAAACTATACGGAAAGGAGGCCCTAAAAGTTTAAAGGCCTAATGCTTGTGCATCGCTTACACATACGCAAATCAGGGCCTGTCAATAACACCACACATTACCGTGAAGTTGACATATTTCACTTCAATCAACATGTGGTACATCGTTTACCATTTTCCCACGCTAAACAACCAATTTGATCAAGAATGACCAATTTATATTATACTTCACAATAATTGGTATACCAAACTCAGATACCGAAACTGTCAGAAACGTAGGACATAAATACGTCCTACGCGTAAAACAGTGATAATGAATTGAAATCCACCTTTATTACAGTAGATTATATTATACCATACGTACGAATATCAATTTTTTTACAATAAGACTTGTTATCTCGAACTTTTTTCTGGTCTAAGATTCGAAGTAACGAAACTTTATTAATGGTTAATATTAAATCTCCGTCGAAAACGCTATATCAGTTGTGAAATTTGTAACCGTGTAGTTAGGTTAAGTTAGGCTTAATAAAAATGATTTTCATTTTAATTGCAAACGTAATACTTTTCTAAAATTTTCAAATAATTGACGGATGGAGTGATCATATATAAGCACAAATAAAATTAAGGTATTTAACTGTTTAAGCACCAAGCAAAATTTGCAGTGTACAAACTCGCCAAACCATAAAATACTATAGATTTTTAGTGATACAACGCTAAAACATCTCTTATTTACGCCAATAAAGAAGTAATAATAAACGGTGACACTTCACTTATTTTGCTTAAATAACAATTCCATTAATATTCGGTATTAATATACATATAATATAATTATACAAAACACATACATTGAAATTGTTGTCTGTTTTTTGAGTTAGAATTTAACTCAGGTGTGTATTAAAGCAATATAAATATTTGAAAACATAAAATTAGAAAATAACATAGAGCATATATATAACAATCTAAATAGCAAAGATACCACATTATAAATTTAATATTGTAAGACCTACGAGTCAAATTTATATTATTATATACCTATTTTATTTTATGTTTATAAAACATTTAACTTTTAATTTTAATTAAATTATTTAGAAGTGTGGAACTTAATTTTATTATTTTTTACTAGAATGGAAACACAATTTTAAGTAGAGATAGAAGTGTTTGCGTTTACATAAAAATTTGAGACCTAAATATGACATTTAAATGAATTATTAATATAAACCACATAAAAAAAAAAAAAAATTATCAGTGATAAGTTATTAATGCCAATCTACTCAATAAACTATTTTAGTATTTATCTAGTATCTATTAACTGTTCATCAAGGCGTATATAATGTATAAATATTTCCATAATTTTGTATTTTTGTTACTATGTACAATGTACAATATCCATTGATATGCAATTGGCGTATTATGAATAAATTTCTATAAGACTATAAATTGTTATTAATGGCCAAGGGTGCCCATAGAAAATTTCTTAAGGGGGAGACAAAATTTTAATTATGTTCATGAAGGCGCATGTAAACTCAGCCACAAGTACCTTCTTTTACTGTAAACTCCGCCAGAAAAAAAAAACAGGTAAAATTGGGTTCATGTAAACTCCGCCACTGAAAAAATCAAATAGTAGTATAAAATCAATATGATAATATTATTAAAAAAAAAAAATTATAATATAATATAATATATCATATCGTTCACATTAAATATTTAAATCATAGTAAAACATAATCGTTATACGTAATAATCCAAAATCACATGGTAATGTGAGCACTGACCTGGTAAAAAAAAAAAACTGGCAGAGTTTACATATACCCATCACAGGTAAGAAAAAAAAACTGGCGGAATTTACCATAGACCTATTATTATAGACCTTTTTATCTCAACCGATATTCTAGCAGAGTTTAGAATCGCCCGTGAGATAGGAAGGTGTTTACAATTTAACATTATACTAATATATTTTATATATCAAACTGGAAGATTATAATATAATGATTATTTAACCAATTAATCATAAAAGTTATTTATTGAATTTGCATTTGATTAATAACATAAATTTATCAAAATATTAATTTACAAATAAAAATTGTATTTTTTTTTTTTTTAACACCAAATATATTTATTACTTGTTCTATGTATCCATTCGGTTTATCTTCAATTTTTTCCCTATTAATAGCCACTTCTGTGGAGTATAAAATAAAAATAAAAACCAATTTTAGATTTAAGTTTAAATCAAAATATTGTCGTTGTTTCTTTTAGAAGGTAAGTTGATACAAAATGTGTGTTGAACTGTATATATATTTAAAATATATTAAATTGATTTTTTTTTTTTCTATAAGCGTTTTACGTTTCATTAATACAATATAATCTAATTAATATAAATATATAAATATATATAAACATATCTACCTATATTAAATTAACAGCATCACTTTTATTTATTTTTACGTTTACTTTGATTACATTTTACAACCAAAATGTATGTTCAAGTCGTTCAAAATCAATCCACACGAGTAGGTTGTTCTATTAATTTTGTAAATAAATCAAAAATTACGACTAGTATTATTATATATGCACATAAAAGATTTTAAATCAGGTCTACTCTCACAATAGTCAACACCATAATTCAGACAGAAACTGAAAACTATACTCATGTTTGTGTTTCAGATGCGATAATTAAGCATTTAATTAAAATTATATACTATAGTAATATTGCCACACATCAAGAGTTTATAAAATTAATAATCATATCTTTCATTGAAACTAGTGAATATTTAAATGAGTAATAAAAGCAAATTTTTATTTGTAAAATCTCTACACAAGCAAATTTAATATTTGTAAAATAACTATATGACAACTTATAAAATAAAAGAGAGAAAAGGATACATTTATCTAAACTAATTTTACAATAATTTTTTTTTTCACACGAGTTTTTAATGTCGCAGAAAAATACACCCAGAATATAATATTTTTTATTAGACAATGTTATTATTTTAACAGTAAATAATATTTTTGATTTCAAAAACTATTAACTTTTTTGGAAAACTTAAGAAAAATTTAATTTTAACGTCATATTTTACATATTATTATTATTTCTTTGGTTAATCCATTATCAACTTTTGATAGATAATATTTTTTTTTAATTTCATAACTATAAACACAATTTTTACAAAACATATTAACTAATGACATTTTGATAAACAAATACTAAACGAATAGTTACTGATTAATAAACATTTAAAATAGGTATACGTATATTAAAATTTTAAATACTCAACTGATGGAAAGTATCCAATAATTTGTGCCAAAAATATTTTACTGCTAATTAGTTGATAAATAGAACTATTATAATTCTTGTATAAATTCGTAAAAAGGAAATTACTCAATTCTTTATGAAAAAATTATAGGTACAAAACCTGTTTTAAATTTTACGACATGTATAATGAATACCATTATAATATTAGGTAAAAACTAAAATTAATATTGTATTTAATTATAACTAATAGAAGAATATTAAATAACTATCTCGAGTTTCATATTAAATGGTTAGATAGATACAAAATTCATTATTCAATATCTCAAAACAAATATATTTTTCTTCGAAATTAACAATTATACGTGTATAAAGCTACTTTTAAGAAAAAATGACTGATTATTGGTACAATTAAAGATATACATATAGAATATAAACCAATATTTACAAAAGGTAGAATAATAATGAATAAAAAAAAAGGAATTACTTGTTTCCATCAAAAGTATAAGTACATTTTCCTGTTTCTCGAAATCATGAATTGGTAGATTTATTTTTTCCTCAAAAAATCATACATTTCCATTTTTACCGATTTACTTTTCCATCGTATTACAATATTTAAAGGAGAACATTCGAATAATACTTTGAATGTCTCTAGATATTAGAAGGGCAGGAAAATAAATAGACAAATAAAGAATATAAGTTATTAAATTATAAATAGATAAATTTAGAAACAAATATTATAAACTAATTGAGAGTTATTTTGTATTTTCTTAGAGAAAATGCGATAATCATTGAGAAAATTATCATTGATACAAAATTATACAAAGATATAGAATGACTTATAAAATCATAATCATATTGTAACGTGTGCACTGTACAACAAATATAACGTTAATAAAATAAATAAATAAATATATCATTAGTCATTTGATTGCCGTCAATATTTTATTGTCATACAGTCCACTTGAAGAAAAACTTCTCCAATAGCTACAGGTGCCATGCCACTTACGAGTACAAACTATAAAATAATATATCATTTATGTGAAATAGTAAAACAAATATAAATTATTTATTTATAGATTATATATTAGATTATAAGTACTTTTTATAAATTTATTTTATATAAATCTAATACTAAATGTGTAATATTTACCTATAATGTTTTAGAATCATATTAATTTACAAGAAATACCATTTTAAATAATAAATAAAGTAGATATAAAAGACAACCGTAAATAATTGTAGATAACATATAATAAGCCATCATAACTCTGCAAAACAAACATAAAATAATAAATTAAATAAATTATAATACACGTTTATTTTACTAAATTATGTATACTAATTACGTATTAAATATTACTTTTTATGTCGCTTTTGGCCGATTGTTAGATCTTCAGAATCTTTCAAGATATATTTTTTGATTCCGTAAATTGAGCTTAAGAAATATCTATTCCAATTCATATTTGTCATATCCAAGTAAAATAATTGTTTGTCTTTATCACTTTGTGATGATATGAGAGCTTTAAAATGGCTGTCATCAAATTTAAAATCAACAGTACCAAAATATCTCATTTCATTCATCATTACTTCAACTTTTTTGTATATTTTTATTGCTCTATTAAAAAAATAAATGTATATTATGTTTTATTACAGGTCAAACGCATAAAGTATTAACTTTATTTCAAAAATATAAACTCAAATGAATTATAGATGGTTAAAAGCTTTTCCTTGTTCAAAATATTAATTAGTTATTATAATAATATGTAAACTATAATTACTAGTGATAGGTACGATATCGATATCGAAAATTTTTTATGATTATGTATATGATTTTTCAAGAATCTCATTTTATTTGCAGGTTCTAAGGTATCTAAGCTGTAATAAATTAAATTGTATTGTAATACAAATATGCATGATGTTGGTGTACCAATAATATTTAGATATTAAAATATAGCATTATTAGCATTAATAAAGTAAATGAATTAAATTTCTTAGTGTGATGTAATTATGTGAATTTGGTTAAGTGAAAACAAAAAAGGGATTTCGATAGCGCGATACGATATTAATAAATGTTGAACAATATCGAAATTTGAAATTAAATCAATGCTCATTACTAATAATTACCTATCATTATACTACAATAAAATAGGAGAGCTTTAAATCTTTGATTATTTATTTTAAAGTAGATCTCATGGTTCTTTAACATATGTGTATACAAGTAATGTGCTACAAAAAGGCCACTCATTTAAATTATATTTCATTTTTATTATTGTTAATTATTTCAATCCTTATTTCTATGTGTTCTCGTCGACCGTCGTAGTATCATGGACAATAGAGATGTTGTGATTGTAACAGGATGGTTCCTCCTCAACTCAATATCAACAAAACCATTGTACTGTTGGATTAGTAATTATTAAATCGTAATATTTCACTTAGGGTGAAAGGAAAAAAATTGACAAGCATAGTCGTGTAACCTCAGACTATATAATTTTTACATAGATATGTTTTTGCTACGAGTACACAATATATTTTTCATGATCAATTTTTCGTCTAACAAACAAAATAATATCTATAATAGATTCTGTATTATAGTAAGCATATGAGACTTAATTAATAAGTAAGTAAGTAAGTAAGTAATTTATGTAAATAAAATAACCACATGCAAACGTACATAATTTTTACTTATTGAGGCGTGTGAAATAACGATTCACAAATCATGAAGTAATACATATTAACATAGACACACGATGGTTTATGAGTAAAACTGCAGCCGTCCACGATGCATTGAGCCGAGATATATTGCAACATACTTATTGATACAAATGAAAAGGAAATGGACATTTTTGGAATTGTATTGTATAAAACAGAGATCCAAAAAACCATTTCTTTGATTCAGTATTTTTCAACAAAGTAATGAAATATACATTTATCAAATTTTTCAAAACACAGGTTTATAAGAGAAAATGACGAATCGTATATGATTTTAAGGAAAAAATTCAAAATTATATTTATTATTTCTTATTGGAGACTACACCACTACACAAGAAGAACTGTGAAATATTTACAGCTTTATCAAACACGTTATTGAGTTTTAATATGACAGGGTATAGCCATAATGAAGATTCACCCTTTTACCCAAAAACTTAAAAAAAATTGTAAAAATACTAATGATCAAGAAATCAAATAGATACATCATATCTATAGGATGATAAAAAAATAATATTTACCTAGAATATTTTAGAACAAATTACCACGTCGAAACGTATATAGATAATTTCATTCTTGTACATGAAATTTCAAGTATAATATACTAGATATTTATCATTTTCAAATTTTAATACATTTTATTTGTCCTGAATAAAAATTTACTATTTACCTCATTTTTTTCCCCGCAATCCAAAGACAACAATCGATGATAAAGGCTGGTAAATAATGGTATATAAAAAAAAGTATAGTAAATAATACTTTTGATTTTGTTAAAATCACATTTGGTTTCCATAACTGTATCATAAAAACGAATTAAATTATTACTATTTACAATAATACTTTAATATTTTTGAATTGAATTATTCTTCAATTGCATTATCTATTAAAATATTTACCTCTTTTTCCGAGAATAATTTATATTCAAACAAATTATCTAAAAGATACTTTGTACATAAGCCATATGTTAATGGTGGTGCCATATTATTTGAAACGTGATTGAATACTGGAATTATAGATTTTGAACTGATAAAATATAAACACAAATAATTAAATTTTAGTATTAAATATGATATTGATAAATAATTAAATATAACATTATTTTATTGGCCAAATAATACATTTAGGCCCATTTTAAATTAAAGTAGGCTAATAATCTAGTCTAAGTAGGTATACATATTGAGACCATCAAAAAATTAAAAAATGTGAATAGTTTTTTTTATGTTGCGATTCATTAAAAATAAATAAATAGGAATTTCTAAGTTTTGAAAAACTTAATACAAAGAAGAGATCTTAGAAACCTATTCATAAAATTAAAAAGTAAGTAATATTTAAGCAAAAAAAAATTTGTATATCAATTATAGTATTTGATACCTCTTATTTGAGTTAAATAATAACTTTTTTTATTTATTATTTATATTTTAAAATGTAAATAAAAATTGATTAATTATTCGTTAAGAATTTCGTTTAAAAATGTATGAAAAATGTAGTTTTATTATTTCAATATATTTTCCTATCACAAAAATAGTTCATGTAACAGGGTTAAAAATGACAAATGTTATTAAGTAGTTGATAAAATCTTAAAATAATTATATTATTACATAAAAATATTGTGATTCGTGAAGACTTTTTTCCTGTACCTATTATATATTTTTAAATTAAAAATAAAAATCTTCGATTAAAAAAAAAAAAAAAAATTATACATTAAAATACCATAGTTTCTGTTTATCGATTTTACCGTGTCTTAGACGCATGATGAGCTGCAGTAATAATCATATTCGCTACGTAATCAGCTGGCATCAATACTGCTTTAACTTTTGGATCCGCTGCCAACAAGTGTATAGCTCCTAATCCCAAACCTATAGACAGCCCAGTTACACTTTTCATTGTATTTGCCCATCCACTTATCGGTTCTTTGTCTGTAAACAACACTGTTAAAAACAAAATCAGAACATAATTAGACGATATATGTATACCAATTAATTAAATATTTTCAAAATATTTTTATATTTAAAAATATTGATTTATACGATTGGGCTCATTATGAACAATTTTAACAATAATATAACCCGAAGTTAAGTGAAATCGAAATTTTCATTAACATTTTATGAATTTTTAGTTTTTACCATTCATATCATCTATTTATTTTTTAAATTCGTGATATTTTCTAATTTTCAAATAATAATATTTTGAACACTTTGCACTACCCAACTGCAACATAAGAGCTATAACTAGATAATTTGCAATCAACTATCAGAAATAAACTTATAATAATATAATTTTATTGTTATACTATATACCTACTGTGATATTAATACTACGTATTAGAGCTTAAGTAGTCAAGGGTAAGAAAAAATTTGTTGTATTCAAAATGCATTATTAACAAATAATTAATCGTTCTATCTACAATCTTTACTGGAGTAACGTACACTTAATATGTTCTACCTATTAAATATATCTAATAATTTCACATTATCCAGTAAACAAAATCACAGATTAATTCATCAGACATGCTCATCCTCATATAATAATTTTTGTATATTATAATATATTCTGGGTAAATATTGATATGAATTAAATTTTTTTTATATATATTATCGCATTAGTTGGAGAATTAATAATTTACTATTATAGTCGGATACCTACACCTATAATACAAATCTATCATGTAAACTTTACCAAATATATATCTAACTTCTAATTTCTAAATAATCTAGTATAAAATTTCTACAAATTCAGTTTTCCTATATAACATTTTAATATTAATTTTTAATTTTAATTGTCCATAACAATATTTATTTATCAAATTAAATGTATTCTTCCATACTCAATAATTAAATTCCTTTAAGTAGGTATAAAAGTTAGAAATTTATAAACTATAAACCAACTCCATAGGCATGTTATTTCAAAAACGGTAAGAAGTACTAATCATTGAGCACCCGCTCGTATAGCTAATTATTAGTAATATAACTATAGTTTATTGTTTTATTATTAACATAGTTCAATGAACACTACGTGTCCACATACAACTAACTTGAGGTACTGAACCACTGAGTACAAACATGGGCCTAACCAATTATTTTTGCGCTTATTTTAAAATAATTTTACTTTTATGAGGTTTTAAAATTGTGTAATTTTTACAACACTTTAACAACCTTTTAATATTAAACGTTATTAATTTCAGATGAGATGCAAAAACCTATACAAATATAATAGTGTCATATAATATTATGCTATAATATGTGTAATAATATTTCAATTCCTTACAATCAATAATGAACTATAATAATTTGACCTATTAAAAACTTAAAAATTAATTTAATCTATAATAGTAATTATTAATCTGTATTATTGGCCAATTTTAACTGCTTTTGTTAAAAATATGAGCCTGGTTAACTTGACATAATATTATTTATGTAATATTGTTTTTGTATGTTTATAATAATACTGTAATATAATTACCAATGCACGGTCTGGTGATACATATCGGCATATTTTGACCATATTGTTTAACGAGATTTTCTGCAACGCATTTCGATAACGTATACGTGTCCGGCCACGACCCTAAACATCTTACAATATAACATATAAATCTAATAAACAATTTATAAATATATGAAATTATCGTGTTTGGCATACCATTGGATGTTAGTAAGCAAAATTGGTTGGGACTTACTCGGGCGTTATCGAATTAATGAGTGAATCCGACATATTTTCGACCATGTTGATCAAAGCGTCCCCTTGTATGTGACAATTGTAAATTTTCTCTTCAATAATCGGTTGATTTGGGTTCGAAAATGCAGTGGACACATACACAAATGACTATAAATATCGAAAATAATCGTACTATACTTAATTGTATAACAACGTGTACACAAAATTGCCTGAACGTTTAGTATCCCAAATGGGCATAATTACTTTAAGTCTGTGCATACGCCGAGCGATCAACAGTAAATCTTTGGTAGACCTAACATTGATGAAACTCGTGTGCTTAAGTGGACCGTTAAGATTAATAGTGGCGGCACAATGAATAACAATATCCATGTTGGCGACCATGAATTCTTCGTCAGCAGCCGATAAACCTAGATTCGGTTCCACACAATCGCCAGTGATAAGCAATACCTTTTCGATGAAGTCTGGTTGCTCTTCCCACAATCGCATAAATAGCTGAAAATATCGATTATTTTACGATTTATGAGTTTCGAACATCATGTTTCGAGTATACTATTAAAGCACACGAAACTCACCGTGGAGCTAAACATTTCACGTAATCTAGTCTGTGGGTCTTTGTTTTTCTTCGACCTGATTAGAAGGTACACCTTGTTTACTAAACATGTTCTAAAATAATAATAAAACGATTTAGAATCGAAGAAACTATAGGCGTCGTACACAAAGTACTCGTATTGTAGAAGGCAGACAATTTTTAACTGGTACCTAAATATGACGAATGGTAAACTCCTATAAATGTAATTTAATCTCCTACAAAAGATATTAGTTATAAGAGTTAAAGTATTAACTCTTATAAAAGATAGTGTTGACTCCTATAAAAGATGATAAAAAAGAATACCGTTTGTACTTCTGTAAGATTGCACAATTTAATGCAAAAATAGCACTCAACAGGAAGTGAACAGGGTCGTCGAGCAAATCCTGTGAATGATAGTGTGAAAAAATATATTGAAGAATTATATAAGAACACATAATATTATAGTATATAACATGTAAATAACTTAGCCTTCAAGAATCATCATACAGCGTATAAACACGCTCTATTCAAGTGTTTGTATTTCATATAGGTACTTATTATTTTCAAGTTATGATCATTTTTAACTTTTTAAGATTTTCAACTCCAAAATCGTGAATTTAAATAATATTGCCCTATTTTTTTTTAGGTAAAAATGTCCATATAGGAGATGACAATATCTTTAATTTTCAGGTAAAAATATAAAAAGGTTATTGGTGTAAGAGTTTACATTTAATGATGATTGAGGTAAAAGGTTATTCTTTTAGAAGTTACATTTGGCCCTAAATATAGCAAATAAAAAATGTACAAGCTCTAAAAGAGTTTTAATGAATACAATTATATCTTTAAGAGTTGTATGATTCTTTATTTGATTACCAATCTTACAAGTAACAAATTGTCTGAATTGAACTAAAATAAATAAAAACATTAAATTAATAATTATTTCATATTATTTCCTATCAATATTATTTTCCGTAATTTTTGTTATCATTGTTATTGTTGTATTTCAACAATGCTTTTTCCTTGTTAGATGACAGCACTATACATTATATATAAGCACATTGCACATAATACTATATAGTATGCCTATTCTAGTGAATCAAAAATGAAAATTTATATTTTGGCTATTTTGAATTTAAAACTGTGTTATTTCTATAACTATACAATAATTAAACACAATTTTATTAAAAAATAATAATAAATCAAACTGATGAATTGAATTAATGTAGATAAAATTTTATACCAGTCATGGACGCTAAATTTTTCTTGTGACGACACATTTAGCAAAATATCATGTAAAGTAAAAAGCTTGGATGATGTAAAATACAGTAATGGGATTTTTTTAGTAAAAACAACCACAAAGACAAAAAAATCTAAATTATAGAAAGTTAACAACATATACTTTTTTTATTTTTGTCATTAAAATACTTAATAGGACCAAAGAATAAATGTATCTACTATTTGTTGACACGATTATTATAGGCATTTACTGTCAACAAGTAAATCTGTCTCCGGACATTATAACTTCATAATATATTGTCACTATAAAAAATTATTAAATAACATAAATATATATAATTTCAGAAAAAAATTTTCTAGACGTATTCTACATGATTACATGATTACATTACAATTATTAATGATACATACTACGATATTTTATTATATCCATAAGTTATCCACAGATTCCATATCACAAATAAATGACTATATGGATAAATTACATTTGTTTTTAAAATATATATTACAGAACAAAAATTAATTTATATCATGTAGATACCTAAGAATTTTTTCGACTAAAACATGTCCTATGAATCCAGTTGCACCAGTTATAAAAACGTTCGTTCCTTTAAAAAACTGTTGTATTTCACTAATAGATTTGTCGCCACTTGTCATTGTTCTTTTTTTCTCGAAAATTAATAATATAAACGTAATTTACTGTGTAAAAATCAGAAGAGACTATCACCAACTTAAATTAAACAAGGTTTTAAAAAAAAACAAAATGCATGGATCAACACTACGGAATAAATGATAACTAATGTTCGGCCAATTAAAAATTGAAACTGTAATTGCTGCGTGTAAAACGAATAAATACCGTTAATAGTGTATATATTATGACGATTTATTCTGTTTTATAAATAAACTAATATCAATATTTCTCATTAACCTCGAAAACTGTTGTTTGCTACATCATAATATACTTTTGAAATACACATTAGCACATAATTAAATATGACACCAACAAAGGTTGTCCATATAACTTAATATGCAAATTAAATCTAGTTAATTTATTTAAACATATATAAACACCGTGTTAACAAAAATCCTCTATGTTTATGTATTTCCACATGAGTTTATGTTTTAATTTATATCATAACTCCCAATACTAGTGAATTAAAATTGTATATATGTCATAAGCTATATGGATAATTAATTTTTTGCGAAAACACTAGGGTCTTTGCAATGGGTAGCCCGTTTGCGAACTACTTATTATTTTTCAAAATAACCTACTGTTTTTCAGGCTCATTGTATACAGAGTATAGACTATTGATAAACAGCAATTAGATCTTTTAAAAATTACAATCATTTTATGGTAATAACCATTTATTTATTGTATTTTATATTGCTAACCATATGTAACGTGTAAACTAAACTATTAGGTATATTATTGTATTAAAGGTACATTATTTTCTTTTTATCTACGACTTTGCCCATATTATATTTTGAATGTCCAATAGTCCAGGTAATTTTTGAATATTGACTCCAAAAAAAATGATACAGAAATAGAAATGAGAAATTAATTATAATAAAATTGAAGTTGGCAGTTATATTTTAGTCAATATTCCAAAGGTATATTATGGACCATTAGATATTCAAAATATAATATTGGCAAAGTTGTAGATAAAAATAAAATAATGTACCTATAATACAATAATATAATAGTTCAGTTTACATGTTACATATGGTTAGTAATATAAAATAAAACTAGCAATATAATATTCTAATGGTTATTACCATAAAATGATTGTAGTTCTTAAAAAGCCTAACTGCTGTTAGTCTGTATATAATGAACCTGAAAAACTGCAGGCTGTTTGGAAAAATAATTAGTAGTTCGCAAACAAGCTACCCCATTGCAAAGAGCCTAGTCTTTTCGCAAAAAAACTAATTATCCGTACATATACGACCTATACGTACATGCACCATACAGCTATAATATACAAAAGTATATATTATTAGTATTAGTAATATAATATATGTGTATTAATGTTATTAAAACATTGTCACTGTTATTTTTGTACTAATAAAAAAAATTAATCTACAGTTTAAAAAACCAAAAAAAATAACCTAAATAATTTGCCAAAATACTCTTTCACCGTTAAAATTGTAATAAATCAACTTGAGTGAAACGATTAAAATAATACTGACATATGTTAAAAGTGCGAGATATTATTTTGTTCACACGATCTTCTCAATTCTTCGAACCTATACAAATATGATTATAAATAAAAAACTGATAATTTTTCTACATAATCGTATTTTGACAAAAAGCGGTCGTAATGTTATACATACACATATAATTTTAGAAATTGTACTAGATACTATTACCTATTAAACTGACAAAGATTAAACACATATATGTATACATTATAATTTAAATTCTAAAATAATTTATATGCGAGATTAAAAAAAATTTACACGCATTATAAGAATAAGTCGTGGTAGCTAAATGTGTGGATGTTAATTGTTAATGCACATAATTAATTATCGTACTCTTCCATTTAAGTATTAAATATACAACAGAACAATTAAAACAAAACAAATCATGACTGATGACTATATCTAAATATTAAATACACTTTAATATATACAGAATCTATTTTAGATTTCATCGGTCTCTTTCGTTTAATAATTTGGCTATGTTAACATAAAATATTAGACGACTCCCTTCCGTTATAGATAAAAATATAACTAATACACGAATACAAGGCATAATTATTTCTTGGTTCAATATATAATAATATTATACCTTCATTATAGTATTAAATAAACACGATACTTTCTAAATAACGCAAAAAATAAAAAATGCGTGACGATCATCATCCCATCTAATACAGCAATATCAAATATTAATGAGAAACCGAATTCAAGAAAACTAATTGAAATACATAATATCGTTGGTATATCCATTCCAAGTAAAATGAGAAACAGTATCGAATGTACCTATCTACTTTTCTAAATATTTTAAAAGTTATGTTTACAAATTGCTATTAATTGAGTACTAATTTCTTAAAATAATTAAAATTCATCATTTATACTATAACACATTTTACCTGTTGTTTTAATAATAAGCGAAAAAAAGATACTAGACATATTTTTTTTAAGCAATATGTGTTCGACGTAGAAAGGAAAATAATTATTAATTTATAATAAATACATTGATAAGTTTTTTAAAAACTAAGGTAATTTTAATAAGTACCAAGTACCTAATACAACACTTTTAAAGTAGGTCTTTTTTTCATTGACTACACTGAAATATACACTATAAAAACATAAACAAACCTTGGAAACTTTTTTAATTTTAATTTATACTATGTTTTAGTAAATTTTCTAATTCTTTTTTTTTCTTTTTTTGGAAGAGGGGATTTATTCTTTTTCTCAGACTATACCTCAGGCGTCAGTATACATAGGCTCAACATATTTGGGTCAATGTAAAATTCTATCTGTCTGTCTCTTTTTCTCTCTCTATCTCGTCATAATAATATTATTATTGTATTGTGTTATAGTTTATTATACTAAAAAATGTTTAATAAGGAAACAGTGACAAGTAGTTTTTCGATAATATTTTTCCTCAAGTATTAATACAGCTTAAATAAAAAATAATAATATTTTATAATAGAGCAGTATCTATGATAGTGAGATGGTTAAGGGACAAATTTATTTTATACAACAGCGTTTCTCAAACTGTGGGTCACGACCCCTTGGGGGGGAGGGGGGTCGCGTGAAGTTTTTTTAATTATACAGATTATTGGATTTTCGGCAATGGTGAGCATCAAAAATAAACACAGAAACAAGCTCCAATTATCGCACTCCTTGCGTTTGAAAGTATCTAAAATTGACGTCGATGTTGGTGCTGTTATCAACAATAGCAGAAAACAAGCACATTCATCACATACGCCTAATTATTAATTAAGTATTATATTATTATTATAAGTATATTATTACAATTATTATTATTATAAAGTAGTAAATATGTAATAAAAAAATTTGTTTTTTGAAATTACTTTTTTGATTCTGTAAATGTAAAACTAAGGGAGTTGCGATAGATTTTTGGAAGAAAATTTGGGTCGTGGTCCTAAAAAGATTGAGAACCACTGTTATACAATATTTGGGTATGCTAAATTAAAATATATAGGTATATCAGATGATCTATTTAAAATTAGTAAGATACTCATTATTTCAGAAAAGAATATTAAATTTTTTTTTGTTATTATTTTAAATTATTAAAAAAAAAACTATATAACAATAATTTTAACAATTTTATTATTATAAATATACATATTTTTACATATTTTTTTAAGTTATTCATTTTTTTTAATGATGACATACGTTTTTAATTTCATGTTCTATGGCAAAATATTATTCAGAATATTTTAATTTATATAAATCAAAATTTAAACAAGTAGTTTATTATTTAGTTATATCTTTATAAATATGCAGTATAGTTGTCCATCATGTGATCTACACGTTGTACCACTCCACTTCACTCATCTTAATAACTTCAAACACTTATAATTTATAATCTACTTGTTTAAAATTCGATTTTTATACAATCAAAGAACTCCCAAAAATATTCTACTTTGCCTACTTTGGAATAAAGAATTAAAATTCATGTTGCGATAAGCAAGTTGTAATTAGAAAGAAAGATTTTAAATTGTGATACGATAAAAAAATAACAAATAAATTTTTTTAGAACAATTTTGTTTTTAATAACTTAAAATTATTATATATACAGAATATTTTCAAATACGTTAATAGTTTTTGAAATAACGAGCGTCTTACATTAAATGAATCACTCGGTATATAAATATTTATTTTACTTTAAATGTATGTAGGTACAATCTTTAAATCAAAAAAATGGATACATAAATATCAAACTTTTACTGATGAATCATAATAAATATGGACGAATCGATAAAGATTAACGCGGCACTATTGTTTTATTACCCACTACCTAGTAACCACTTGTAATGTACGTACCTATTATATGATTAAGCTTAGTTTAAAACAAAAACACAATATCATATAATACACTTCCACGGTTGTATTTAATTTAATTAAAATACATTCTTAAGTACTAATATACTACATATCATATACATACAATATACATATTAGATAAATTTCACTGATTTACCTAGTCATAATGCAGGTACTTAAGTTTTAATTTAAAGACACTGAAACTGATACGGTTTCGTATATATATCCAAATATTTTTAAAATTTATTAAAATATAAATTATTCATATGCTTTTAACTATCAAATGCACTTATCGTTTGTAGTGAGTATAACAGCTATATTGTTTTTTACATTAAAGTTTTTATCTTTCTAAAGTTAATATAATTCTTATAACTTAAATATCTTCAGTATTTATACAATACATTATAACTATTATCTATTGTTAAAAAATAGACAAAAAAAAATGTAATTAGCAATCTAAAATAGTGAAACACATATTATAATCACAAATAACATAGATAAACTACAATAACACTAGTTTATTATGGATTCAATAAAAAATATATACAATTGATGTAATACATTTTCTTAAAAAATATATATGTGCATATAAATGTAATAATCACCGGTTATATATTATATTATTCTAATACCTGCGTATCAATATTCATACGTACTAAATATTTAACAAATTGCATAAAAACAACAGAACATAATATATTATAATGGTTTCTTTTAAAAAATGTTCAATAAGTACTTATATAATATAATATTGAATACAATAACTATAATGTTATTATTAACGTTATTTACCTACGAATGTGGGAATTATCATTATTTTCTTGTGAATAACGAAAATAATCGTCTGATTTGAGAAATGTTAATTTGGTTATAAAATAAAAAGTCATTACGGAAGAAGATTTAAAGAAAATAACCAAAAAACCAATCACCAAAGAAGACAAAATCGGAAATAAAATCATAGAAATCGCAGAAAAAAATTCAGAACTTAGTACTTAAATATTTTTTAATTATTTAATGATAAATTTCCGAATTCTAAATATAACACAAATAAAACTAAAATATAAATATTTAAAAATTATTTTCATAATTTATTAAATTATTTTAAATATTTTTTTAGATGATCGTCAATAAAATATTTGTATTGCACGTAAAAATTCAAAAAAAAAATTAGAAATACAAAAAGATAAAATGATGAAACTTTCTAAAGAAAAGTTTCCTCAGCTTTAAATAGACACAATTGTACGTGTAATTATACCGGACGTTAATAGAGCTCGTAGTTCTTCGTGAAATATACTAGCAGTTGTCACCCAAGTTGAACATGAATGTATACATTTATTTAATAATAAAAATATATTGTAGATATCGCAATAACGACACATATGGATATTATAAAATTATAATGAATTGTAATCAACCTGAAACAAAAATTACATTTATATCATTAAAATATTAAAATCATATTTTCAAAATACAATGAACAAATTAAAATATAAATATTATAAGAAAAACTCATGTTCTATATAATATACAGTAGACGCCGCTTATAAGACTCACGGATATAAGGTTCAGTCGCTTATTAGACTCAAAATCGTCTGGAACGGTCCGGACGTATCCAAATACATTAAAAAAAAATCGGTTATAAGACTAAAATTTCGTAAAATAAATAGTAGAAAATAAATTTTTTTGGTTATAATTTAGAAATAAATTGGTATTGAAAAATTAAATAATATTCGTGTCGATATTTCTAGTTTCTGTTGGTACCTTATAAGTTATAACATATAATAATTTTTATCGCAGATAAAAGTTCACATTTATCGCAACGATAATTGTTATTATAGTGTACTGATTATCTGACGGCTGCACAGTTATCGTAATTACGGGTACATAAGTACATATACGTACATGTGCACATGTATCAAACTGCATATGCAGTTATCATTGCAGTCAACGGTATAATTGTTGTGCAATGAAAAATTACAAATTTTGTTCAAAAATAATTTTTCAAAATAAATAATTTTTATATGTAATATTTATCTATTATAATTTTAGTTTTTTTTATCGGGATTATTAAATGTATTCAACAATAAAGTATGTAATATGTAATATGTGTTAATGTATTAAAATTAAAGCAAAATATGTAGTAAAATAAAATTTATAAATACGTAATTAATTTTTTTTCCACTTCGCTTATAAGATTCATTCGGTTATAAGACTCACTTTGTGCTGGTCCCAAAGTGAGTCTTATAAGCGGCGTCTACTGTATTACCTAACCTACAGGAGTGATGACACCTCGTGTTATAAGTTTTTTTTTTGTCACTATCCTTGTGGGACACAGGACAAAGCGAATTCACTTTTCAAAGGACGGTCAATACCGTTGGCAGTGGGTCAATATCAGAATGATACAACTAAAATATTTAACGGACACAAATAAAAACACGGATTTCATCTATAGTATCGGGGCGACATGTGGCTTTTAGTATATTTTTTTTCTTGGTTACATCGCAGTATACATTGTTATGTATACATAAAATAAATCAATGATTAATAAAATATCGATGCTGCACTGCTTACACCTTATGATGTCAACATTCTCGTATTGAATCAGTTTTAATTATTTTATAATAGATTGATTAACTTTTCTTAAGTATTATTTCAATTACATAATAATAGTACATATATTTTTTTAATGTATAGTATATTATAAACATTGGCTTGTTTGCCTATCACAGGAAGCAATCTTTCTTCAAATTAACACCATCTCCTCTATTGACAAAAGAAAGGTTACACCAATTTTAATGATTCTGTTGATTACTTCAAACATAACTATGAAGTGATTACTCGGCAAAATTGTGATAATTGGTATATTTATTATTTTGTCAATAGATGAAGGCTAAAATAACACAGTGATGCTGGTCTTAAACAAAATATAAATTGTATACATTACGGAATTTGCAGGTAACAAATTAACAATCGGTGACTATATTAATTAATAAGTAATAACTAGATAATATAATATACTATAATATTAACTCCTAGAACTACTTTTAATATAGATATACTCGTATAGTTACTCGATCCGTCAATTTAACCAATATAGACCACTTTTAAGCAGTTGTGCAAAATACAATAAGATCATAAGCATATTGGATCAATATATTGTGCAATGTACTTACTTATTATGTTAAATTGAAATTTTATCGGCATGGTCATGATTTATTATTGACTATTGTTACTTATGTTTATTATTATCAAAAATAAATTTAGGTACCTGTTCAGTGTATTATTATTTGTTCCGGGCATTTGCAAAGGATTTCCCATTAAATATACCCGAAGGCCCTTCAAGTACTTATCGAAATAGTCATCCCACGATAATGTGCTCATATCGAAATCAAACAATATTTTGTCTCTTAACGATAATTTATTCATTAAGTTTTTGACGTTGTGATTATGGTACCTAACGTGCATCTGTTGATACGAACGTAAATGTTTAGCTGCTGCATGCACTCGTTCGTAAAACTCGTTCAGTCTAAATAAAAAAATGTATTCATATGATATGTGATCAAGAATCAGGATATATGGAAATTGTATGAATAGCATGAAGCTTAGCAAACTTGCCTAGATTTTTTTCCTACAAGCCAGATGAACAAATCCACAACTTTCGCCGGAATAGTGTGTAAATAAAGCGTCATTATCCAATAGATAAATATGCTATTGGTGACACAATAAAACGGCATCCAAAACTGAAAACAATAATAATACAGATTTTTGAATGTGAATTTAAATAAATAATTATTGTCGGAAACAGTAATTTATAATTATGAATTGAATATATTATAATTACAAAGTTTGACGATGAAACATTTTTTTCATTTTTAAAAAATTTTTCTCCCAGCTGATTCCAAGTACATGGTTTATAATTAGACGAAGCATAATTGTAAATCAAAGTATTAACTGCGTCTTTGGGTACTTCCTCGTTGACGACGTCCGTCCTGTGAATCATAAATTTAACAATTTATATTTTTATAATATTGTTTATTAAATTTTCAATTGATAAATAAGCTTCTATATTATAGTGAAGAACGTTAAAAAATTGTGTAGCTCCAAATTGAAAGTATGTAGTCAAGATTTAAAAAACTCATAATGTATACTAGCAAATAAGTATAAATAAAATTAAATATAATTAAGTTCATCTATTTGTATTAAAACAACAATGGTATGAACTATGAAGGTTTTTTCCGAAATATGAAAGTTTTTCCCTGGAATTAAATCTATAAATCCGAAAAAGAAAAATAATGAAATGTTGATGAATGGATCAATTAGTTATTCCTTTATATTTCATTAGACCTATCATATTTTTTGAGTTTACAGTATAAAAATAAAGTAACTATTAAACTGAAATGTCATAAAGAAAAGAATTTATAGCTAAAAATAGTGTAGTATATTTTTTTTAAATGATTTAAAATTAGTACAATGGTATATTTTTTAATTATATCGTATAATCTCGATGTACAAAAGTAATTTGTATAGCGATATTTTTTTTTTTATCGGGATTACAGTCTACGATATACTATTGATTGATTTTCGACTGAAATCGAACAGAAAACTCTCGTACATCCACATACCTGTTGCCAATTAACTCCCAGCATGCCGCCAGAAGAAGATTAACCAACATGTCAACGGGTACGATTTCGGCGTTAACGCTGCTAGGTCCGTAAAAAACCCTTACCAAGCCGAGACCGGAACCTAGCGCACAACCGGTCAAATTATTTAAATCGTTTGTCCAACCAGCTATTGGTTCATTAGCAGTACCTAAGACTGCAAAAAATAAAAAAAATTATATTAAAATTCGAAATATATATCTATCAATAATACATCTCACAATTAGTGTCACAGTCTTACGTCGTCCACTCATACATAAAATTATAATACACTATATAATGGCCTATATTGTTAACAAACTAAAATTATTATATTACTGATATGTTTAAAATTTGACGTTTTCAATAATTTATTTTTTTTGGGGGGAGCCCCCCCCCACCATAAATACGCCATTGGCTATTATAGATAACTAAAATAAAATAAATGTATAGTTTTACCTATATTAATTTATATATAGTTAGTAGTGTAGTTTTTTAATTTTTTTTTTTTTTGGGGCGAGGCTGCTGTTCATATTTGAACATTTCTTCGACTTAAAAAAAAAATAGCCTAATGTAATAGTATTTGAGTCATGTTTATCAAAATATTTATATACTAACTGAAAAAATGGAATTAATTTTATTAGATCCATCAAAATGTGTGTTAGAACATAACGTATGAACAACACCTATACTTATATAGTCGGAAATATTAGTTTTAAGAAAATTGTATCTAATAAATAACAAAAAAATAATATCGAAAAGGTGGCAACTTCCATGTGAGTATCGCTATGATGTACTTTGGATGTTTGATGAATTACTGTTATAATATTAGGTCGCTTAATTCTATAAAGTATAATAAAAAAATATATATAATATATATGTTATATAAAAATAAATATTAATATCGCTAATAATTAAATTATAATCGGATAATAATAATAACAATCGACCGCACGGCACTCACATACACTTGATATATAAATAATCTGATGTGGAGAAATTATTGGTCGATAAGAATATCAATATCTAGTCCGTGAATGTCACATCTTGTCAGTTGTCACTATGCACTATGCATCTATATGCGCACAATAAAGTAATATAAAATACGATTCTTACGATTAATACGACCATACGTTTCATTTAGTTCGATTTCATTAATTTTTTTTCATTTAATTGTTGAGTTGGTAATGAAAGAGTACTGAAATGGAGCCAGTAAAAAAAAAAATTATAAACATTGGATTCTTACTTTAAATCAAATGAAGCTAGTGAATGTCGGTAATATTATTATTTATTATACTTAAACTATTTGTTATGTACGCATTGATTTAATTTGATTAAATCGGCAGGGCTTGAAAACGTTATAATTATGATTATAACTCAATAAATGACGTTGTTAAAATTTGTAAACGTAATTACCACAAAAATCGATTTTATTATCATCGAATTAAATAAAAGTATAATTTTGAGCAAACTATGTATATGTATAAAAATATATGTTGTACTTGTTATAGTCTTAACAAATCCTAAATTTATAAATTATTATATTTTTGTGGTAGTACATATTATATAAAAATAATTATTATAAATCATTATAACAGGAACAGGAAAAATTAACTCAAAATTATGTATCAACACAGTCTACATCAAAAATAATTTCTCATGCATCTTCAACTGACTTTATAATTGATACTAATAATTTCAGTTCAAATGAAATTGCATTTTTTATCAATAAAAGTTTACAACCTTCTGAAATTAATGATATATTAATTAATCTTTGGAAACCAGATCCAACATTTGTATTCCCAATAATTAAAAACCGATGAAGTTATTGATGAATTGACAAATCAAAAACGAAATCTAGAATTTATAATATAATTTGTGATTTTGTTATAATAGTTTGTCAATAGTTTGATTTCAATAAGTTAATAAAGAATATTTTAAACTAATTTATAAAATTATTTCACTATTAGGTATGACACCCCCCCCCTTCAAAAAAAAAAAATAAAAAATAAGTTTCTAAGTCGCTTTACACTATAAAAAAAAAAACTAGTATGATTATATTTTCATAAAAAATATAATACAACAAATCATAATTATTTAAACTTGTTTATCTTTATTTAAGTATTAACTATTATTTTTTTCAATTGTAAAATATTGATAATAATTAACACTAAACAGGTTATCAACCTAGAAGCAGTTCATAAAGATGTTACATATTTTAATCTTCAAATAAAATTTATAAAATAAACTTTATTACACTAAGAAATCCCAATTTTTTTCTAGAGACTTCAACAAATTATTTATTTGATCTTTTATTAAATTAACTTTTTTCTATATTTAGGATTTATAGGTTAAGTATATACTTTTCTATAAATATAATATTTTAAAAAGTCAGTTTTGCATAAGAAATAATTATCTGAAAATTCAAGAACAACGTAATACATACAATTAATATAATAATTTAGTTAAGAATTACAAAACGTTACCAAATCCTGGTCGTATAATACACGCGGGTAGATCTGATCCAGCTGATTGAATTATCTGCTCTGCCAACGCTTTAGTAAACGTAAGTACATCCGGCCATTCAGACACAAGCCTATTGAACACTTAATATTATTTCGTAGGTAATGAAAACAACTATTGTGATGAATATACGTTAATATTAAAAATGTACTAATTTTATAATGTGCGTTTTATTTTTTATTTTATTTTTTGTGCCGGTCATCATATTTGGAGTCAATAACGATGCTTTAAATTTCAACTTTGAGAGTGATTTCTAGAAGAAAATTGGATCTAGTTGGTATTTTGAGGGATAAAAGTAAAATAACTGAACGAAATAAAATAAAAATTAAGGGAAAATGGTCTTTTTTACGCAAAATTAATTTTGACAAAGTTGATATCGTTTTTTAATGAACATAACTCAAAACAATAAATCGTAGTTACTTTAAACTTTCACAAAATGTTTATAATTATATTATATTTTATACATAATAAAAATTTTTATTTATTTATTTTTTATTGTTTAATATATAAGTGGTTAGCACAGGTACTAAACAAAATATCAAAAAAAAAAGCAACTCATCATAGCTAATATTTATTATAAATATTATGTATACTTAATTATATTCTTTTGACCATCAAAATAATTTTGTTATGGAAAGTCACCATCATGTACATGCATGTGCTACATTTTATACTGTAATATCATAAATATTCAAATATAATAAGTTTGAAAATTCATTGAATCGTAAATCTATACTACCTACATTTGATTATTTCATACCAAATATAAATGTGATTTATGTATCTATTAGGAAAGGCTATTAAAATAATACTTTACTTAAAAGATTGTTGTAAAAAAAATACAAATACATATTTCACAGATATGTTTGAAATAGAAAAGACTTCCATAGTGTCAAGTTTTTATGAAAGCAAATAATACTATAATTCTACTAAGTATAAAATTAAGCATAAATAAGTATACTTGTTACAGTATTTATAAGAATATTATTGAAACATTCAAATCAAATATTGGGACAACAATGTTTTGAAACCCTTTCATGATGTTTTAAATTAATATTGATGAAATATTTTAAAGAAATATCATTATCATATTTTCTTAGCTGCTGTGGATTATTGTGACAACATTCAAAATATATTTATACGAGTAAAATAAAACTAATGAAACACATTATAGAAATAGAAATATTTCTTAGCAAATATTATGTTTAACATATTGTGAAAATATGAAATTGCTATCTGGGTAGTGTTATCGTTACCGATAAGTGGTTTAGAACGATTCACTACAAACGCTGAGATCAACAGAAAAACTCAAACAAAAATAAATACCTTTTTAAAATCATTTTCATTTTTATTTATACACACATACCTTCTTAAAATTACATAGTAAATATTTATTATTACATTACTTTATTTATAATAAATACATAGGAATTAATATATTTTGTACTGTTTTAAACAATTTTAATTTGGATAACTTAAACTTTTTTTCTCGACGAGTTAACTGTGCTACTGGAAAATACTTGTGTATCAAATAATTATTTAGATATTATAGAATTAATAGCCGCTTTCAGTAGGGTTTTATAATATATAAATAACTATCTTTTAATAATTCTAATTTATACCTAAATCATATTTACCTTAAAAATAATTATTTTAATGATATTAAATAATTTATAATTAAATGTAATATAACTAATCATTTTGCTACTGCTATTCAATATAGATACGATGATTTTTGGGTTCAAAAATAATGTTAAAAATGTTAACACAAATAAATGTAATAACATTATGTTTTTATTATCTAAATAATTTAATATAAACTAAAGATTGGCATATATTGCCAAACTCTAATGATATAAATATACCTCTTGATATTTTCAATAATAAAGTATTTACATGAATTTTTTAAAAAAACTGCTATGCTAAGCTAATGTTACAAAAAAAACAATTAAGAATCTTAAATTACAATACAGGATAACAAATGGCATTGTTATGTCTATAAAAAATAAATTAAAATTTCGAAAAAAATAATCATTTAATAATTCTAGCAATTTTTCGTAAATCTAAAGATTAAAAAACGATCCTAAATAAACTTAAAAATTAATAAAGAATATTACTGGAAAAAAAATTAATTAATAAAATTTAACTTAAAAACAGCATTATTACAGAAAATTAGTTTGATATTTGCAATGAATTAAATATTTATTTTAAGAATATTGGTAAAAATATCGAGAATGGCGTTATTTCTAAAAGAATTTAGTATAAAGAATAGAGATTTAAACAAAAGTTCTTTCATAAAGGATAAAATATTCCTAAATCCATTTAATGAATTATAAATTCAAAAATATGTTGTAAAATTGAAAACATATAATTCATATTTTTTAAATGGTTTACAAAACCTTATTATGAACAATATTTCAAATACTATTTCCTATTTATTAGAGCTAATTTTTCATTTATTTTTGTCATCAAGTGTGTATCCAAAGTCATTTAAAAATTTTAAAATTATTCCATATCTTAAAAGTAGAGCAAAAATCAAATGAAATAATTTATGGTTCTATTTCATTATCTTTATCGCTTTTTAAACTTTTGAAAAAATGATTTAAAGATAGGATAATTAGTTTTTTAGAAAAAATATTCCTTTTCTTCCAAATAATTTGGTTTTATTCTAGTAAGTCTACTAGAGACACACATTTCGTTGTTAATGATTTTATGCATAAGAAACTGGATGAAAAATATAAAGTCTTAGGAATTTTTCTAGATATAAAAAGCATTTTACACAATAAACCATTCTTTATAATTAAAAAAAACTTAGAATTCATGGAATTTCTAGTAAACTAATTCACTCCTACTTGTTTAATAGAACACAAAGAGTTGCAATTGGTGATTACAGTAATTCTTTAAACATTAACTACGGTGTACCACAAGGTAAAATTTTAATACCTCTATTTTTATCATTTTCATGAATGAATTACTTAATTTAAAAATAAATACAAAAGTAGTATGTTTTGCAAACAACGCAATTTTGTTAATATTCAATGTATATCATAATATAATGATTTATATTCTACAGTAAGTTTAGTAGTAAATAGTATTCAATTATTAAATCATGATTTGACAGTAATTTACTAAACTACATTTAAACAAGACTAAATATATGTGCTTCAAAATACAAAACAATAGATTTAACAATATTGATTATAAATTATATATGTATTTGCCAACTTACAATTATAGAAATTGTAGCTTAGATTATTTTTATTTGCAAGAATTCGATAATATTAAATACCTTAGGCTTGGATTATATTATGATGATAGACTAAAATGAAATATTCATATTTATTTACCCAAAATAATTAAATTAAAAAATTCTTTTATATTTTTAAGGATGTTAGATATACTTATATTTCTAATACTCAATTAAAACGAATTATTTATATATCCTTTATATAGCCTATATATAAATGTTTGAAATTAAATTTTGGAATTTTACCAATAGTCAGATAAATATTTTAAAAAACCTATTAAAAAAATAATGGCCTATATTCTATTCAAGTCAGCATTTTAAAATAATAACATTTATAGTGCTTTTAATGTTCAACAACTGAATTAAAATTTTATAAAACGTTTAATTCTTCTCCTCACTGGTTTAAATATATATTTATGTTATACTACAATTATTGTTACAACTATTTATTCTACAAGACATAATAACAATATCAATCTAATAAATTATGTAAAAGTAATACCATCTTCGAAAAATTAAATCCTTTAATTGTAGAAATTGATATTTATATTCAACTAAATATTAATATTTTGAGTTTTAAAAATAGAAATATTTTTAAAAAATATATAAATATTCTATCATTATATTGAAATATATGTATAAATTATGAACTATGTAACTAATCTCATCAACATACGCATGTGTAGGTATATATATATTATATACTTTTGTTTGTATACTATACTATATATCTATTGACTACTCTAAATCTTTAGTTATTTTAAATTTTTATTTTTGTGAACTTATTACTTAACATCACCATTTTACAAGCTAATAATGCTTATTTGTAATGTGTAACCACGATACGTTTTTTATGCTTATGTAATGTTTGGTTACAAAATAAAAATAAATAAATAAAATAAACACAGACAATTAATTTAACTTAAAAATGATTAATTCAGTATTCACGTAAATTATAATAACAAATCAAAATATTTATGTAGTATTCCGCTTTAGATTATAATTTATAAAACATATTTAGTATATTTTCAAAAATTAACAATCAATATATTATAATCAATAATGATTAATATAATGCGAGAATTGCGCTCTCCTTAATTTAAAAAAAAAAATAAAACTTAAAAATAATAGTCATTGGTGTAATTGAGAACTTACCCCGAAGTAACACGGTTCAAAATGTAATCAGGAAGGGTTTCGACCATCTGGATAAGAGTGGATGCCGGTATCGGGAAATTGTAAAATTGTTCGTACACGTCCAAAATTGAAGGATTAGTGAACGCGGACGACACGTAAACAAAAGCCTAAAAAAAAAAAGGCACAAATAAAAATAAACAAAAATTAAACAAAGGAAAATAGAAATATACGATATACATTAATTTATATTATACAATAATTATTAAATAAAATAATCGGCCATACAGAACACCTGATATTAAGATTTAACGGTTTCGATTTATTACTATGTATATGTTACCCAAAGGCAAAACTAGTTTGTGAAATCGACCTTTTTATGAAAAGTTGCAAACAATTTCCTGAAATACAAATCACTTTTTATACTTAATGAAATTTAAAAATATCATCAAATATATTTTATATTATACATATTTCATTTTATTTTTCATTATAATATTATTCAATTATTAAACAATTGAACCATCAAACGTTTGCTATATTTACTTGAATTAATGTTGATGATTTTATAAATTAAGTCAATAATTTTTTTATGATATTATCATGTATATTATATTTTATTTTTATTTTTTAAATTATTAATAGAAATCAGCTTATAACTATGAAATCTTGACAATCACTTATATACATGGAAAATAATATACTCGTACTTCGTAGGTTATAATACATGAAAAGTTGTAGATAATGAAATTATAAAACTTGTTATTATCATAAAATGGAAATAATAAATGGTTAAAGATTATTTAATGATGTGTTTAATAAGAATAGTTGAATTAATGGATTAATAATAGACTTATGTTCTTTGAGAAATGTAGAGATTATATTTTTTGGTTAATTTGATAGTGAATGGTGATTATTATTAGTGTAGTTTGTATGATATTGGCTTATAATTTTTTATATTTTTGATTAGAACTAAGAGTGACTCAAAAGAGACACAAGTAACTCTCACCTTGTAGTATTACAGCGAAGGTAGATTTTAAACGATTGCTCTGTTTGAACATTTTATGACGTCTTATATAAGTTAAGATGGGGGTTTTGTAAAAATTACATCCTTTATATGAGGTGTATGTAGCCTAATAGCATAAAAATAGGGTTTCACGATGAGCCCGAGCTCATGAATATACAAGGGGCTCTATAAAATTTTAAATGTAATGAAAATAATTTCAATAATACTATTGATAAATAATTTATTTTAATATTATTTTCTATCACTATTCTGGTGATTCTTTAATAATACCAATGAATAAAATTTAGAGATTAATTATTGTGAGTGACTTAATAGTTTACTGCTTAGTGTTGCTTTCAATTAAACAAGAAACAGTTTGAAAAATAATATTAATTTTCAGAGGACAAGGGTTCATAAAAATTCACAACATATTAGAGGTTAATGTTTTTTTTTTTTTGTCCCAGACCTTGTAAATATTAGTTACACTATAGATGCTACTCCAAGTATAGAACGTACTTGATGAAATCCGATGGTGATTTTGTGAAATCGCTTTAAAAATAACCTTCTTCACGCTTAAAGCAACAAGGGAAACGGTAACAGAAATTCTGTGAGATAATAAGCCTAGAAATGAATACAATGTATAACCTTTATCAGTAAAACTAGACTGTATTGAACATTTTTGGAGGTCGGAGGTTCCTTTTAAATACACTAAACAGATTATCATATTAAATTAGGCTTTTAAAAGTTGGTTTAATAAATATACAATTAGTGCAATGTAAAATAGTTAAAAATCGTCTACTTCCCACGAAATTGCGCACCACCTTTTTCCCTCATCATAAGTATACAGAAAGAGACCCGATCTGACCTTGAGATTTTGAAAACGTTTTATTAGGACAATTAAGTCTCTGGTGCCCCGGACGTTGATGCATACAGCCATGTTCAACATGCAATAAGGGTGAATAGTGGTAGTCGCAGCCGCTAGATGTATGACAACGTTTATTTTGGACTCAATCCTGCTCAAGTCGACTTCATCTATGCCAATGTTCGGCTGAAAACAGTCACCTCTTACCACTTGCACTTGGCTACGATACGTAGGATTTTCCCTTTTCATACGGTCGAAAAACTATAACCGGAAAATTAATTAAATTACACAGATTGGAATATAAAGTAATAATATGATTACACTAAAATAATATTACGTTATATAATGCTAAAAATATAGAATTTGTACAATAACACAAGGTTTTTATTTTTTATAGTTAAGCAAATAATATTAGTAATATTTGTTTTCACTAATGAGCAATTCTTACAATTATTTTACATCAAAAATCAATAAATAGACTGATATAAATTAAATAAACCAAATTATAATGTTGACAATAAAAAATAAAGTAGATTACCAGTAATTAATAAAAAATTATTTTTATTCATCAACCTATATTTTATCCATAAAATTAAAAATTTTATAACGTCTAATAATTTGTGTAAAACCTGAAAGTTGTAGCACACATATTAACATCGTTTTTTTTCTAATAAATAAATAGATTATTTTATTTTTAAAGGAGTTTAAAGGACCTTATAGTAGAGTATATTGTCTTTTATACAGTATGAATGTATGTATAAGTGCCTTAACCCGGTATAGGTAGATACTATATTACTATACTAAGTCTATATTCACCATATTATAGTATACTATATTATAGTGTTTACACATATATACAATGAGTTAAAATTGTATTAAAATTACTTTAGAAACGCATTATAAATTATAATGACTTGATGATGAAATACAATTAATTATTGGAGTCGATCTACTGTTTATATTAACTGGAACACGCGTTACATTTGTATTCTATCATAGATGAAAGAAAAAAGATAAAAAAGGTTTACAAGATTTTATGAAAAATTGTATACAATTTAATTCTTACATTTTTGGTGATTTTAAAAATAATATTTAGTTTAAATGATTCGTTTTTATTACAAATTTTTAGATCAAGTAAGTTTATTTAATTGTTTTTAAAAATTAGATTTTGTTATTAATATATTTATGTTATACATTTTTTTTATTACTGATCTACACTTTTAAATATTTAATAAAAATATTTTACTGAATTTTTCTGAATTCGCACCATAATTTAGAAAAAAATACATAAAGTAGCTATGTGAAAATATAAATTACTTTCACTATAATTATCTGAAATTAATAGTATATTTTTTAATTACATCTTTAAAATTTCATATTATTTATGCTTCTGTGAATATTTCACAGGTAAGTTTCTTTTTCATATATTTAAATCTTTGGATGTTCACCGCCTAACGAGCATTCACAAAAAAAAATTTTTGCAGAACAAAATGATTAATTAATTCAAAAATTTCTAAATTGTTTTTATTTTATTTATACATTTAAATATCATGACAGTTATGAAAAATATATTTAAACTAAAATCATTTTTGTTGAGTACTTTAAATTATACAAAACGTATCTGTAATGTTTGTTCGACTTTAGGTTTAATTATTTGCTAGTGTAAACTTAAATAAATCAAGTAAAATGTCGTATTAATTAAATTTATGATTTTGTTTGATTGTTTGGTTTGATAAAACAAATTAAAATATTTAATCGTTACCACTCGCCCCCTGTGATATCAGATAGTTTTTAATTTATATTTTGTTTTAACGTATTTTAAACCTTTTTCTGCGATTTCCTATTCTAGAGCAAGAATATTCAATAAACTCAGATGATATTATTTGGAGAACTTAAAAATTAAAAATATAAAAATTAAAATCTAAATATTTTTATGCAGATTAAGGTATACAAACGTAAATCAAATATCATACTTAAAACATATTTTTATATTATTAATTTTAAACTGATTATTTAATTGATGAATATTAATGAGATTTAAACAAATCATTATTAAAAACCATTTGCAAGTGACGTTTATAGTCTACACCTATACTTTATTGTAATATATCATTTGACAAAAGCTAATAGAACATAGTATGCATTATCTTGACCTCTCATATTATACAATGCAATTGTGACTTCCGTTTCCAAATATCACTATAGGATTTTAAAGTTATAACATGTAATCATGCATTACCTATAAGTTAAATCTATACCTACTACAATTATTAATTTTAATATTGTTCTTTAAAAAAATTTAATTCTTAAGATGTAAAAATATTGAAGAAAATACATATATTAGTACAAAAGAATAGAGTATTAATTTTAAATTAACTAAAATTATTTATTGATATTTTAATAATTTAATACAGTTGTAGAATCATTATTTAACCTACATTAACATTTTTGTTTGACCTACAAAAATGTATGAATATGTATTGACTATGTAAAATTAAATTAAATATAAAAAAAATAGCAATGAATAATTATTGTTTGTTTTAAATGTTCTGCTGTAAATCTTTTTTCTGATTGGTGTTAATATATAAAATACAGATAATCAAACTTATATTTTATTTAGTTAATAAAATATAAAATTACGGCGTTTTTCAGTATTTTCGTAAAAAAAAAAAAAAAAAAAAACACAAATTATGCACTTATAAATAAAAAATGGTAAAATATGCAAAATAAAATTTTGAATATAGATATATCATGAAATACATTTCTATACAAGAACGAAAGCTATTGGACAACCTAAAAAAAATATGCAAAATCATAAACATTGTAACCCTATTAATGATTAATGAATGTATAAATAATATTGATTCTTAAATGTTAGTATTTTAGAATAACTATATATTTTTTATAAGTAATACATTAAAAATTATTACTACTCATTTTTGTATTTAGAATAAAAATAAAAATAAATTTTATACGAAATATTAATAAATTAATTTACTAGATTATAAATCACTCTCTACTTTAAAATCTTAAACATTATACGTTAGTTTTGTCGAGATGTATGCTATTTTAAAAAAATAACATTTTAGAGCAATAAAATAAAATGGATAAAAACTTTTGAACAACACATCTCTGCAAATTAGAAATAGAAAAGGATTGTACTTTAAGAGGTAATTTTTTGTATAATACAAGTATTAATATTTCATAATTTTTAAATATTTCTGAATAATGTATACTGCTAAATAAACTTGTATATCTAATAAGGATATTATTGGTATTTAATATTTTCGGTCACTGTATCCTGTTTTTTATAAACCTAATAAATAATATATCTTAAAGCGTATATATATATATATATTTCATTATTAACAAATAAAATTTACTGTCATTATAATAATATAATTAAAATATTATTATTTTATCGTCGTTTAATGCTAAGTAAAAAATGTAATTTTTAAATTTACGATGACTCTTTGGAAAAATGTATCAATCTGTTGAAGTAATATAAATATGAATGAAATAAATTAACATGAACAAATATATTTAGGTAACCTACTTATCATAATATAATTTTAATTTTAATCACATATTTACACACTAAGTAGAAAATTATAATTTATTAATTACCGGACTAGTAAACATTTCTTTGACTCTTTCATTCGGATTTTGACCGTTCAATAGTCTCACAACTAAATAAATTGTGTTTAAATCACGACATGACCTAAAGAACAAACTCAATGCCAAGTATGTGAACAGTAATACATTTCAAACATATTTTGCTTACGTACCTTAAAAGTTTTTCAATTAAAACTTTTCCAATAAAACCTGTTCCACCAGTAATCAGAATACCAGTACCACGAAAACATTTTTGGATTTGGCTCTCAGGAGATTCTTGGAGATCGTTTATAAAATCTTGTATAAAAATATCACCACCTTCCATAGCAATAACCGTTAATATCTAATCAATTATTCTCAATTTGTATCGAAGTTAGTTTTACTAATAGAAATTATTATGAGCTAGAACTATACGTATATAATATATCACGATGTATGCTAATAATACAACAACCTACTGATCATAATAAATTATAATTTCGTACAGTAAATGAATATTTTCACTGTTTCATTATAGTCATTGTATTACATGTAGGTAGGTACTTATTCTAACGGATAAACGTATAATTCAAAATTATACAGCGTGTAACTGCTGTCTACTACGTCATTTAGCCGTTATGTCCAATGGTTGTGACGATTATATGTCGTCACAATATGTGATATTTAACATTATAAAAAAATCAATTAGGTACTAAAACAAAATTAGCAAAGGGCAGAATTTTCTATTGAGTATAACAATGATCTGTAATTATTGCAATTTTTTTTTTTAACATTTTATATTGACATACGATAAATGGTAGAATAGCTAAATATTCATTTGTATGCGTGGAATGTATCTCAATTGTTAATGTATGTAGTATGTACTTTGTAACTACTGTATCTACAAACTAGCTACTTCAACCTCTTGAAAAAAATATCATAAATATAATTCGTGCATATTAATATTTATTATATTTATGCGACATAATAACAATTACAGTAAAAAGTATATCAAAATGTATATAAAATTATATCATATTTAGAAAATCTTAATAAAAATATTTTGAAAATCATTCATTTTTTTAATCATAATAAAAAAACAAAATAGATTTGCTCAAAAACTTGAGTTGTGCAAATACTCACAGTTTTTGAAATTATTTTTTTTTTAGTTTTTCCTGATTAGTTTAAAATTTACTTTGAATTTTTCACTTTTTACTACGATAATATTAGTAAAAATACTAACAAAATTCAATTTTCTATCAGAAATTACCTATGCAATTGAAAATTTAATTAATTTAAATAATGATTTGCTATAGAATTTTTTTCTATATTCTGTGAAAGATTCCGAGTATCGCATAGCACTATGCTATTGAGATTCGAGATCGGTTTCACCATGGCAAACTGATTCGTGGGAATGCACAGAAAAACGGATACTCGCCGAGCCGTAGCATGTTTTTTCACTGAACGAAGTTTAATATGTTAACTCCGCCCGAAACTAAAATCCATTAATAGGACATAGGCGTTGCGCCTATAGTCGTAAACGACAATTTTATCAGATTTTTGACGTCAATCAAATCGTACAGTTTCTAATTTTTAATCACTAAATGTGTGCGTGCGCCAGTCCATTTACGTAGTAATAGAAAAAAATCCAAAATCTTCTCCAAAACGATCAGATATTACACTGAATTGTATATAATTGTACAGAGAACTGGTTATGACGTACATTCCGGAGCTATATAGTTATAGACGCACATGCAACATAGGTACCAATATTATAATGTTATAATTACACGAGTAATACTATTATTAACGTGGGTAACTAGACCCTACGCTATACACCAACACAAATTATAAACGTGTTCGATACATCCGCCTGCATCTGCATTCATAATAAGAGATTTAAGGATTGAGGTTTTTCTGGTATCATAATTACGATGTATTCGTGTGATCGTATACGATATAATAGTAATCACGTGGAAAAAAAAACCCCGTCGATGACGAAAAACACTATCGTCAACAGTAACAAATACCTATTACATTTATTTTTATCTACGGTAGAATTTATCGCAGTTCTCATAAACCCTACAGGCAATAGGTACATACTACCGCACAGGAACTTTAGAGTTAAGATGAGTTGCTTATAAAATTTCTTGACAGGACGTATTCGTTTCGCCAAATCGAACACAATACCGTTCGATCACTATTCACTACAACAAAAAGTGCAACACGACGATATTTTGTACAATATAATTTTATTATTGTGTTAATATTTCACTCTTATCGTAGTTACCTAATATGTTAGTTATTACAGTGGTATAAGTGCTAACGATTTTTTTTTTTATTGTTGTTGTTATGTGATATTCATTATTCACAAACACAAAAATTTCCTTTGCTCATCTATACGGTTGTTAATTATACTATAACAATGTCTTGGAATTGCCTTCTCTAGAACTTGCATTTATCAAATTAACAAAATACTAAATTTCAAGTAAAATATTTGCTTGTTAAATTGTACTATTCAAGTGATAGAAAAAAAACAAAAATGAATAAATACGAGGTCTGTTCAAAAAGTACCAGGATTTTATTTTTAATAATTACAAAAA